ACATGGTGAAACCCTGTCTCTACCAATATACAAAAATTAGCCAAGTGTCGTGGCAGGCTCCTGTAATCCCAGCTACTCTGGAGGCTGAGACAGGAGAATCACTTGAACCCAGGAGATGGAGGTTGCAGTGAGCTGAGATTGCGCCACTGCACTCCAGCCTGGGTGATGAAGTGAGACTCTGTCTCAAAAAAAAAAAAAAAAAAGAATAACTCCTTCTGCTTGCTTTTGGTTTTTATTTTCATGGAATATGTTTTTCCATCTCTAAGTTTATATGAGTTTTTATGTGGTAGATGAGTCTCTTGAAAACAGCAACTACTTGGTTTGGAGATTTTTATCCATTTTTTCCATTCTCTATCTTTTAAGTGGAGTATTTAGGCCATTTATTTTCCATGTTAGTATTGAGATGTGAGGTACTATTCTTTTCATCATGCTAGTTGTTGCTGTTAATCCCTTAGCTTTTTTTTTTATTATGTCATAGTTATATAGGCCCTGTGACAGATACGCTTTAAGGGGGTTCCATTTTGGTGTATTTTGAGGTTTTGTTTCAAGATTTAGTGCTTGTAGTGCTGGTTTGGTAGTGGCAAATTCTCTCAGCATTTGTTTGTCTGATAAAGACTTTCTCTCTCCTTCATTTATGAAGCTTAGTTTTGCTGGATAAAAAATTCTTTCCTGATAATTATTTTGTTGAAGGAGGCTAAACATAGGACCCCAGTCCCTTCTTTTATAGGGTTTCTGCTGACAGATATACTGTTAATCTGGTAGGTTACCTGATAGGTTTGCCTCACAGCTCTTGAGTTTTTTCCTTCATCTTGACTTTAGGTAACCTGATGACTATGTGCCTAAGCAATCTTTTTATGATGAATTTCCCAGGTGTTCTTGAGCTCTTGTATTTGGATGTCTAGATCTCTAGCAAGGCTGGGGATATTTTCCTTGTGTATTGCCTCAATATGTTTTAGATTTCTCTTCTTCCTCAGGAACACCAATTATTCTTAGGTTTGGATTTTTAATGTAGTCCCAACCTTCATGGAGGCTTTGTTTATTTTTTTAAAAGTTATTTTGCTTTATACTGATGGATTGGGTTAATTTGAAAGCCTTGTATTCTGTCTCTGAAGTTCTTTCTTCTGCATGTGTGATTCTTTTGCTGAGACTTCCCAGTGCATTTTGCATTTCTCTAAGTGTGTCCTTGATTTCCAGAAATTGCGGTTGTTTTTATTTATGCTGTTTCACTGAAGAATTTTCCTTTCATATCCTGTACCATGCTTTTGATTTATTTGGTTTAGACTTGAGCTTTCTCTGGTGCCTCCTTGATTAGCTTAATAATTAACCTTCTAAATTCTTTTCTGGCAATTTAGAGATTGTGTCTTTGTTCAGATCCATTGTTGGTGAGCTGGTATGATTTTTTGGTGGTGTTAAAGAACCTTGTTTTGTCATATTAGCAGAATTGTTTTTCTGGTTCCTTCTCTTTTGGGTAGGCTATGTCAGAGGGAAGATCTGGGATTCAAGGGTTGCTCTTGAGATTTTTTGTCCCATGGGGTGCTTTCTTGATGACGTGTTCTCCCCTTTCCCCTAGGAATGGAACTTCCTGAGAACTGAACTTAGTAATTGTTCTTGCTCTTCTGGTCTAGTTGCCAAGTGGAGCTACCAGCTTCTAGGCTAGTACTGGAGAGAGTATATAGAGAGTCCTGTGATGTGATCCATTTTCAGGTCTTGCAGCTGTGGTTACCAGGACTTGTCTGGTGGAGGTAGCTGGGGAGTGAAGTGGGCTCTGAGGGTCCTTGGTTCTGTTTTCTTTTAGTGTGCTGATGTTATGTTGGTTGGTCTTTAGCTGGGAGGTGGCGCTTTCGAGAGCTCATCAGTTGGGGTGCTATAGGGAGGATGCAGACTTGCCCTAGAGACACCTGATTAAGTATTTGGGTTCCTCAGGCAGTGGGCAGGGCCATAGAGTTCCCAAGAAGGTGACCTTTGTCTTTGGCTACCAGGGCAGATAGAGCGAGAGAGTACCAGGTTGGGGCAGGACTAGGTGTGTCTGAGCCTCTCCTTGCGCGGGCTTGCTGCTGGTGCTGTTGTTCGGGATGGGGGTGTGGTTCCCAGTCCAATGGAGTTATATTCCCAGGGGGATTATGGCTGCCTCTGCTGAGTCATACAGGTCACTAGGGAAGTGAGGGAAAGCTGGCAATCATAGGCCTTGCCTTGCTCCCATGCAACCCGCAGTCCTAAAAGCTGGTCTCTCTCATGCCTCCCCAACATCACCAAGTCTTTTTCCAGGCAGCTGGTTACCAGGGTGGAGAACTTGCCCCAGACCACAAGCCTCCGCCTTGAGAAAGCAAACAGACTCATAGTTTTTAGGCATCTCAGGGAACCTGCAGCAGTGATCCAGTTTCTTCAAAGGGTCTGTGGATTCCCTGGGCTTCCCTGGTATGTTCCTGTGGTAGTTCTTGTAGCAAAAGTTCATGATGTGAGTCTCCACATGCTGCTCTGTTCGTCGGAGCGCAAGGTACAAACTAGTCCTGCCTTCTATCCACCATCTTAATCTGAGCATCTAGAGATCGTCTTGAATTACATTTATCTACCTACAAATTTCAAGCTTGGAACAAGACAAATAGCCATAAAAACAAACACAAAAACCTAATAGCAGAACCACTCCAATGAGGACAAATATTTTCAAAAAGTACTTGGACTGGAAAGCCTAGACGATACTAAAACATTAAATACAATAATATATCCGAGACCCAGTTTGTTTAAATATATGGGATAACCAGATCGTTTTAACTGCTCTGGCTATTCCTTATTTCTATATATTTGTAGACAAAGCCAGCACTGCTGTATAGTAATAACTACTGATATACTGCTTTGTCCTTTAAAATGTGTCTGCCATACTAGGCTCAAACTATCAAACCAAGTTTTTCCGTTAAGGCTAGGAATGTCACATGTATGCAGGGATGAGAACCTTATCACACACACTCACACTCAAACACCAGGTCTCTCAGCCCTTGGGTGTCACCTTCCAACTCCATGTTTATTTTATGCCATGCTATCTTTATATATGTCCTTTCACAGTTTTCCTATTATGTGAAACACAGTAAACATCTCAACACATTTGCACCTGGTTTTGGTTGCTCAGTATTATTCTTGTGTGCATTGAAATCAGTAAGCAAGTACATATAATAGGAATTACACCATCTTGGTAGAAAAGAGATATAAAAACACAGATGTACAGATTTCACCAGTAATCTCAAGGAGCCACCTCTTCAGTCTATAGCAAAAGTCTACTTGCCACGTCAGATCCTTTTACCCATCACCTCTATTCTTGAACCCCAAAGCAGGGCCAGTGCTTTTAGTTTTGTACCTGGTGTCCTTAAAATGAATAAGAGATTTTATTGATCTCTTTGTCACTGCAGGCAGTGTAAATATATTTAATTCTTCTTAATTTTGTTTTATGATCTCACAAGATAAGATAACCATTTCAACTATTTCAATTCTCATTGTTTTAAGATTTAAATCATTCTGGGCAGAATCTTCTCCAATGTTTTACTTAGGAATGGATCAGTGAAGTCTTTCCTCTGTCATTATTTTATAGATTTTAAATAAGGGTGTTTCAGTGGCTCTAAAACAAGCGTGTGGCTTTTGTAAAATTCCTAATCTTTCCTCCAAGTCTTTACATTTCTTATGCTATAAAATAATTTCAGTAATTTGTAGTAAAGAAAAGTAATCTGTCTCCAATTTCTTCAGATATTTATTAACCAATATCATCTCATTAAATGTGGAAAAATACTACTGGTCTTCGCTTTAAAGTATTTAAATGTCCAGCAGTACTTTTGAAATAAATGAGATTAGAAAATGAATTTGGTTGTTCCAGAAACTCGGTCACACTGGGAGAATACTTTTTTCCCTCAACGATTTAACATTTTTTTTTGGAGTCAATGCAAAAAGTCTTTTTGGGTACAGGCCTCCGTAGTGACATTCTAATGTAATAGAATTGTCTTCGATTTCATTTGCTTAAAGATACTGCTTTAAATGTTTTAGGGAAATATTTTATCCTAAAAAGGTTAATTATCCAGGGTTGAAAAGATCTTACCTGAAAGCTTAAAAACTTGTATCTTGGCAATAAAATGATCATTTTAGTTTCAATATCTTAATCAAGTAGATGTGTGGCAATTCAAGTGTTTTCATCTCTTAAATTTCAATAGTGGATAGCTTTTGTCTCCATTCTATTTTAACTCAAAGCTTTCTGTCTGTAAAGCATCTCAGCTTAGGACTCAAAACAAGTCTGTATTGAGGATTTATTTCTGGAATTGTGTTAAACAGTTTTCTGTAGATATAGATATTTACTTAGGAAGCTGCATCAAGTAGGTACCTTGAATACTACTCTCTTGTGACTAACTCTGCTTGTTCACAGCCTTCCCCACCCTTCCACCAAGCCCCCCTTCACTAACCTGTGCATCCTTTGCTTGTCTGATCTCTTTTACTTCTTGTTTTTCCCCTAGTTTTGGAATAGTTCTTAAAGTCTGACTTGTCATGGTGTCTTGGAAGAGAAGCCAGTGTCTTTTCTGGGTAAATAAGCTATGAGCTGACTAAGAGGAGTAGTTAAAATGGAGAAAGCTTAGCTGTACCTTGTCGAACATAATGAGTTGAGAGGATTATGATTATTTGTAAGCATCAGGATCTGCTAGACAGGACATCTGTTTTACTTGCTGTGCTATTCTTATGTTGGTGGAGAAATAGCATGCTTTTCATTCAGTATAAAAGTTTTGTGTTCTAGCTGGGCAATGATGGCTTAGTTTTTGAAATGTACTTTCTTGAGAAGTACATGTGGTTAGTATAAAATTGTCTTTCCTATTAGGACTAGATACATAATTAGTCTGAAATATTTATTTTCCACAAATATTATTTGTGGAAAATAAAAAATAAATTGCTGTGAACTTTTGGATTTTTGTTATTCTAGGCTGTATTACACTTGTTCGCTATATTCAAATATTTTTTTCTTTGGTTTTACTTCCTAGGTTGCACGTTTTCAAAAAATACCTAATGGTGAAAATGAGACAATGATTCCTGTATTGACATCAAAAAAAGCAAGTGAATTACCAGTCAGTGAAGTTGCAAGCATTCTTCAAGTAAGTGGTTGGTGGGGAGGAAGGGACTAGATGGTATACAGTCAGACTCTTAGATTCTATAAATTAGTGCTGTCTAATTTAATTTCCTTCAGTGATAAAAATATTCTGTTCTGTGCCATTCAGCATAGTAGCCACAAGTTGAACAGAACTGTTGAGCTTGACATGCGATTAAACCTAACAGAATTAAATGTGACTATATAACTTGAAATGTGACTAGTGTGATGGAAAAACTGAATTTAATTAATTTAAATTTATTTAAATGGCTATAGTTGGCTAGGGGCTACCCGATTGGACAGTGCTGCTGTAGAACATAATAGCATTTCTAGGAACTATATTAGTGCTGTGTAAGAAGAATTGGTTGGATTAGGAAAATAATTATTAATGTAAGTAGTGGTAGCGGTTTATCTTTTTTTATAAGGGATTTCTAAGGTAAAGTAAAAAATAAATACAAGTTTAGAATTGCAGATAATCTGTAATTGCTTATGTAGGCTCTTCCTGGTTTTCAAAAGTAGGTATCTATTGAAACATGAAAATGATAATGTTTTTGTTTTTCCTACAGTCATATATTTTAGTGATAGCATTAGAAACATGGGCATCCTTATTTATTTTTTTTATTTTTTGTTATTGTATTTTTACTCTGTTTTAAAACCACTTATTTGTAATATGTTTGTTTTGAAAGGCTCCATTATTGGACTCTATTATAATAAGCTTTTGGTTAGGGCAACTATTTTAGATAATTTTATTCTTTAATAGAATAAGAAATTATGAGGGGAACTGAAGGATATAGGTAGTGTTCATAGAACATAAATTGTCCCAAGAACGGGTTCATCTTAACTTTATACTTTTTAGTCATTTAGGAAGCACAGATTTTCAGCATGGAACAGTTACACAGTCCAAGAGTAAAAATTAATACCAACCTCTCAGGTTTTTGATAGGCCCAGAGAACAAGGAAGGCATTTATGACCCATTGGATGTTCTTTTGGAGAAACTAATTTTAGAAAACAGCTAAACAACAATAAAAAGGAAAAAGCCAATTAAAATGTATAATTTTGTTTTCTGTAAGTCTTGTGGCTGGTTGTAGTATTTATTTTTCTCCCTAAATTTTATTTGTTTGGTAAACTCTGCCTTTTTGTTTACGTTTAAAAAAAAATTTTTTGTTGAGATAATTTACATAAAATACAATGAACTTTTAAAAAGTGTACAATTTGCATTTTGACAGATGTAACCACCTTCACCATTAAGATACAGAACATTTTTATCACTCCAGAAAGCTCCCCCATGTCCCTTTGTAATTAATTCCTCCCTCTCTATGTATCAACTCTGGCCCCAGGCAACCACTGATAGATTTCTCTCATAATAGACTAGTTTTGACTGTTGTATTTTCTATAAATTTGATTAGACATCATATTATATACTTCCTTGTGTTTTTCTGTGCTAATATTTTCAATAACTTTCATGTGTAAAATCTAACAGGCTGATCTTCAGAATGGTCTAAACAAATGTGAAGTTAACCATAGGCGAGCTTTTCATGGCTGGAATGAGTTTGATATTAGTGAAGATGAGCCACTGTGGAAGAAGTATATTTCTCAGGTGAGATACTTTTACTTCCTCTTCTGTGTAATTTATTAATACATTAACTCCTGTTATTTAGTTGCTTACTTTTGTGATACTGTTTATGGAGAAAGGAAATAATTTTTAGATGTTTTTTACCTAAAAATTTTCATTCGTTAGGGTTTACTGTTAGGTTGGAATCCTATATTTTTAGTATGTAAATCATAAAGACAACATTTTCCATATGGATATATTATGCAAAGATAATGCTATTGACAGTAGTGTCTTTCACTGGTATCAAACCTACACTTTTTAAATAATAGGAATGCCAGTATTTTTTTAAGGTAATCATGGCCAGTTCAGAAAACCAGTAAAAGTAAGTTAGGTAATTTAAACTCAGACTGCCTGGGTACAAATTACACCTTCATTTCTTATCAGTTGTATGGTCTTTATATTCCTCTGAGCCTTATCTATAAAATGGTGATGATAACCCTAGGGGAGATAGTTAGCTCTCAATAGATGATAGTTATTTATTTTTTCTTGCTAATCTTTTAGGAAAGACTTATTCTAGGTTGATTTTTATTTTGTTAATAATTGCGTTAATGTAGAAAGTTACAGGTTACTGTGATTAGTTTTGAAGTAGTTGGGTTGGTTTGCTAAATAAATATTTTTTGCTAAAAATTTTTTAGTAAATATCTGTGCCTTTTAACCTGCAGTCTTTCTGAAAAGATGTATGTTTAACTTTTCTAAAGGGCCTTTTCTGCTAATAAGCTTAACTTTGCCAGGCTTAATTTTACAAATGAGTTTGTCTAAAGTAGCAACACTGGAATTTTAAAGGTTAGATGAGGCCAGGCACAGTGGCTCATTCCTGTAATCCCAGCACTTTGAGAGGTTGAGGCAGGTGGATCACAAGGTCAGGAGTTCAAGACAAGCCTGGCCAATTCGGTGAAACCCTGTCTCTACTAAAAACTACAGCTGGACGTGGTGGCAGGTGCCTGTAGTCCCAGCTACCTGGGAGGCTGAGGCAGGAAAATTGCTTGCACCTTGGAGGTGGAGGTTGCAGTGAGTCGAGATTGCTCCATTGTACTCCAGCCTGGGCGACAGAGAAGACGCCATCTCAAAAAAAAAAAAAAAAAGTATCTGTCTTATTTTTATGGAATATTATTTATATGTGTCTTTGTATTTCACACTTAACACGTTCCTGCATTACCAAAGACTTCAGAAAGTATTGACATAGTTAACTCTGGATTTATAAATTATGATTTGACTTATCCTAAGCAGTATGATTTAATGTTTTACTTTCTTGATTCTGTTATCAAAGCTAGAGCACCTATCCCTTGGGATTCCTGTGAGAATTAAACAGTGCCTGTAATGTAGTTAAGCACAACCAAACAAATAACAGTAAATAGTAATCGTTAATCAGAAGGCACTGGGTGATTCTTTACTCCTCTGCAGCCTGCCATCTATCAAGTGGTGTGCTTAGTACTATGGCACAACTTTTTTGGGGGAAAATGAAAAAGACCATGGGTCATGATGTTAATAGCTAACATTTTTAAGGACATTTTTTGGTTTACATGGTGGTTTAATGTACATTTAGTTAATCCTTATATCAATTCTTTGGTATAAGGTTCTGTTTTACCAGATGAAGAATCTGGAGCTTAAATAGATTAAGGTGACACACAGGTAGCAGCAGCTGGATTCAAACCGTGGTACTGAGTCATTAAGGTTAGTGATTGGTGCCCTGAACCATATTGCAGTTGTAGTTTTATTTTGTTAGGGCAGTTGAATGATTTTTAAAAAATCATTCTTAGAATCACTTGGGGAGTGCTTAAAAAATGCTAAAGCCTGAGCTTTATGCTTGAAGATTTTGTTTTAATTAGTTTGATGTGAATCTGGGCATTGGTATTATTAAAAGTTTCTTATAGGATTCTGATGTGAAGTGGAATTAGGACTTCCAGGAAATGGAACCATAAAGGGGCTCTGGAGGTGGTGGCATGTAACCTCAGAGCTATGGTATCTAAGGGCTGCAGCTTTCTGGTGGGATAGATTCTTTGTAGCCTAGTTAACTTTGCAACTTTGACAGTGATGTAGCATTTTAGCAGAGGAAGAGATTCTGACATCAAAGCTTCAGGGAATAGAATGTCCAACTGGAAGAATTTGGGGTTGACTCTGGTGTGAGGTCATTTAAATGCTTTCTGATCAGGTTGGTGCTATAGTCTTGTTTCTTTAGATGCGATTTTCTCTGATAGATAGAAACCAGGAAGGCTAGCCTTGAGGAAAATCTTCACTTTCTTCTGTGGAGACGAGGGAATTTTTCTGTGGTATGTGAGTCAACCACAGAATTGTAATCTACACCAGTATACTTACTTGAGTGATGTTTGAATGTCATTGTTCTTAGTGTTTAACCTAAATCTTTAGCTTAAAAATCATCTTCTCCTGCTTTTCCTAGCCTCAGTAGAAATTCAGAACAGCTATATTTATTAAATTAATATACCAAAAATTGCTGTATGCTATAAGGAATTGGTTAATTCTTAGTTTTAAGTATTGCTATTTAATTTTCTTTTGTTTTTCTGAAAAGGAACTGTTATGAAGCTTTTAAACGTAGTTAAGTATAAACACTTTCTTTGGTGATCGAAGAGATATGTAAAATAAACGGAGTGTAGACTTTTGTAATTTTCCAGTCATGCCCTCGTGATTTTTTTTTAAAGCCTTTGCTGAGAGAACTCTCATATACAAAACTGTTGAATTGCTGTTTGTTTTTACTTACAGTTTAAAAATCCCCTTATTATGCTGCTTCTGGCTTCTGCAGTCATCAGTGTTTTAATGCATCAGTTTGATGATGCCGTCAGTATCACTGTGGTAAGAAAAAAGTTAAATAATTTTAGTCTGTTGGGATTGGTTTTTACTTTGGAAAGTAAATTGAGAAATGCTCTCAGATGTTTTTCAATATCCAAATTTTGCTTTTATTTTATTCTTTTTATTTTTGGAGACAGTTTCTTGCTCTGTTGCCCAGGCTAGAGTGCAGTGGTGTAGTCGTGACTCACTGCAGCCAAAGACTCCTGGGCTCAAGCTGTCTTCTGCCTCAGCCTCCTGAGTAGTTGGGACTACAGGCATATGCTAACACTCCCAGCAATTTAAACATTTTTTTGGTAAAGATAGGGTCTTGTTACGTTGTCCAGGCTGGTTTCAAAGTCCTGGTCTCAAGTGATCCTTTCACCTAGGCTTCCCCAAAGTGTTGAAATTGCAGGTGTGAGCCACTGCGCCTGGCCCAAATTCCACTTTTATTGTAGTTAGTGTAAATTTGAGTAATGTTCAAAAGTCTGTGATTAGCACACATGAAAATTATTTATCAATCTGATAATTTTCACAGATATGAAATAATTTATAGTAATTATCTGATTAAATTTTAAATTTCTTTTACTTTGCAGTTGAGAACATATTTTAACTATTTGAGAACTAAAGTCTGACTTGTGAAATTAAAAATATTCCTTACAGTGCATGTTGTATTTACTGTGTACATTTACTGTATATGATTTTATTCTTTCCAGATAGGTTATTCTAGCTTTCATTGAACTGTTTTCTCATTTTTCCTTCTTGCTCCCTGTTACATTGTTGTATTAGAAATTTGTATCAAGTATAAGCACTTACTAAAGCAGGTATGTTATGCTTAAGAACACAGTAGATATTAATGTAGAGTTTCAGTTCTTGAACTGTTGCTTGCAGTCTCCCAGAAATCCCTGAGATCTGTTCAAGGGGTATGTGAGGTCACAACCATTTTAATAATACTAAAGCATTATTTGTCTTTTAATTATAGACTTTTGCCTTAATGGCACAAAAGCAATGGTAGGTGAAACTGTTAGAGCCTTGGCACAAATCAAAGTAATGGCATCAGACTTTATGAACAGTCACTGTTTTGTTTCATGTTTCTCTTAAGTCTGTTCTTGATAAAGCAGTAAAAATTAATTTTATTAAATCTGGACCCTTGAATACCTACCTTCATAATCATTTGTGTAATAAAATGGGAAGTATACATAAAACCCTTTTGTATATTGAAATACGATGGTTGTCTCAAGGAAGGGTGATTTTTGTAAGGCAAACTGGCCTTGTACTTCAGAGGCTGACTCATGGACAAACTATGGGTGTTAGGACTTGGGTAACCAGCAGATTCTTATTTTTGAAAGTGAGTTAGATGAGCTTATCAGACTAAGGAAAGGTAACTGGCAGAGTTTTTTGCTCATGATAAAATTCAGATTTTCAAGAAATAATTAGGGTTTTGGAAGATTTGTATGCACTCCTATGGGCTGGATGGCATTCCACTATTTAAGACTTTATTCCAGTTAGATCAGAAGTGATTTCAGCAAATATGTCTTTAAAAAAGTTGTTATGTAATGTGTTAACCTTGGGGAAGATTTGGGGAATCTTGGGGAAGATTTGAATAACCATGTGAACCAATTGTTACAAAATATGTTAACTTGGGGGAAGATTTGGGGAATCTTGGGGAAAAATTGAATAACCAATATTTCCCAGAAGACCAATGCATGAAGTTACGAAATCTGAAATGGTAAAAGATCCATTCAGATGCAAGATGGTCAATAGATGTTAATATAATAGATTATGAAAAGTTCATTTATACAGTTTTATATTCTACATTGCAGATTACCTTTAAGTAAGGAGCACTTGTTGAGTTTTGGTGTAGTAGCCAGGAAGAATATCCACAATCATCTGAAAAATCTGTTAAAATACTCCTCCCTAAGAAAAATAAAATAAAAAATACTCTTCCCTTTTCCAACTTAACTGTGTGGGGCTGGATTTTCTTAATATGCTTTAGTTTGAACAATATGTTATAAGTCAGATAATAAAATATAAAAATATAAAACTGCCATTTTTCTCACTTTTTGAGAAAAAAGTTATTTGTGTTAACTTGTAATGAGGTTTAAATTTTTTAGATGAGTTAATAATTAGAAATTAAAACTGACTAGTTGAAAAATTAATATGGTAAATATCAGCATATATAACTCACTTAACCAAAGGCTGGTCCTCAGTTTGTGGGAGCATAAAAGGGCCCTGAGATCAAAAAGTTAGAGAAGTTTCCTGGTAATGGCAAGCCACTGTAAACTGTTAGCTTCTTCCACAGGCCTTACAGTTGTGATTTCTTCTCCAGCTGATCTCAGTGTTTAAAATCTGTTACTGTGGGACTGCAGATAGTTAGAAAAATAAAATAGAGTTAACGGTTACTTCTCAAGTTAATGTTTGATTTAAAAGCCTTTTTCTTTTGTTTAGGCAATACTTATCGTTGTTACAGTTGCCTTTGTTCAGGTAAGTACTTTATTTTGCCAACATGAAAATGGCATGTTAATTGCTTAAAAATCAGGTGGTTTGTGGTTAAACCTACAGTTATTGGGGGGTTGTAATGCCCATCAGAACAACTTATTCTTTGTTTTTGAAATAATTTCAGATACAGACAACTCTCCAGGGAAGCTTATGGTGGGACTAAGGAACTGCTTTGATTTAGGTAGTGAGATTAAGAAAATCTAATTTTTTATTTGGTGATGTTAAGGATAACTGAAGCAGATGCAAACAAAAAACATAGTAATAGAAATAAAATCCATCAGTAAGCTTTTTTATTTTTTCAAGTAAAAAATTGGACCAGAGTTTATAGTTGTATAACATTGTTATGTTTTCATACCTATTAAAGCTAAGTCTAGGTGAAACAAAAAAATACAGAATTAAAAGATCGATCTATGATGTACCATTTGAAGAAAATTCTAGATTTCTGTGACTGATTCCCTAGCAGAATTCTGTACTTGTTTGCTGAATTTATTTCCTAACCTTGTTTTATTTGAGTCTTTTTCTTTTTGAGGAATTAAAATGCTTCTGCTCATTGTTGGCATTACCTCCCATCCCCTCCCTTTAAAACAATTGCTCATTCCTCCACAGAAGGGGTATTGTGATCTGGATCAATGTAATTGAAATAGTAAATAAGACATATGGAAGGTAGCCCCTTTAAAAAATTACTGTGAATAATGTGGAGATCATGTCAAGAGTTCTGTGAATAAGTGTAATCTTAGTTTTATGTTTATTTAAATATCTGAAGCTTCTGTAGATTTAGATCAGTGTTTCAGAATATCAGCAGGTTTCATTTTTAGTGAAAACATGGTTAACAAGAATAGAATTATTCTAGTTTAGGGAAAAATGTAATACTGTTGTATAAGCCTGAAGTTAATGCTGTTTTGAATGTCAAGCCTGTACTTTGGGTAACGATGGTTATTCTTACATCTATGATTTATTACCTGGGGATTTCTTGTTACTCTCCCAGCCTCTTAGGGTAATCTCTAACCTAGTTGTTATTAGGTTAACCACATCTGTGGTAACCCAGTGTCGAAAGCCAGTTGGAATCAGATTATTTGCAGCAGGTTCGTGAGCTCCATTAGTAGACTATCAGGGTTCTGCTTCTGGACTTTCTTGCATCTTTAAGAATGTATCAGATATATGGAGTGCCTTAATTCAGAAACATTCCTACAAGTGGTATCACTGTGTATGGAAGACTGTAGTAGCTTTTTCTGTTTGATCACTAGAAAGCCCCTACTTTCAAAAAACACCACAAAATTTTAATTTTAACATGTCAATATGCATTTTACATATGATAGTGTTGTTTTACACTGTAAATGGTGTGGCTAAGACTGACTACTAAATATCTTTATGGTAGGTACATTTGATGGAAGTCTCGCAAAAGGATGAAAACTTTATAAAAAGCCTAATTTCAGATTGCTAGGTCTGGTTCTTACACAGATGTGACGCATCACCAAATATGCCTGTGAAACCAACCAAATAGTCTATAAACAAGTAAAAGTTTTCTCCAAAAAGATCCTATTTAATGTCAGTTGAACTTATAATGCTTTATCCAAAAGCTATTTATTAAAAATGTATAAAAATTCTTTATGCTTTATCATCATATATTTGTGCTATATTACCTGTGTCTTAAGAATGCTTTTTATATTCTTTTCTATATTTATGCCCTGCCTTTTTCCCGTGTGTCTTTGTAATCCCTGTTCCCCAAACCACTGTACTTCTTCCCAGCCATAAAAATAGCTAATCGTTTTATATAGTCATAATGATGTCACCTTACAATAAATTTGAAAAATAACTTTTAGGCATTTATTAGGTTTTAGATGGTATGTTTAATGATCATCTTGATATAGAGGTATTTTTATAGTTATAGGGAGTAGAGGCTAAGAAACTAGAAGAGATAGGTAAAGATTGGGCAGCGTCTGTGTCATTTATTACTGGGATCTAGCATGGCTGAGTATTTTCTAGCGTATTACTAGAAAATCTTAGAATCAGAATTTTTGGGTAAACTTTCAAATTCCTTAATATCCTTGGGGTGTTTGGGGTGTCTGTCGTCTTATGATTTTTACATTTGTAGTTTTTGCTTATATTTGTCCAAGACTGATTGTGTTCTAAGTTATTCTTATATACTCTTGTGTTTTCTGTTTGAAGTTTGTGATGGACATCTTGACTGGTACTAGCACTGCAGTAATTTCAAAACACTCCCAACCTTTCTACCTCCACTTTTTGCCTTTCCCTCTTTTGACCTTAGATCAGAAGATTCTTTTGCTTAGTGCAGACATGAGGCAAAAAATGCAAGACTGCTCATGGAAATGTGGACTAAGTAGTATTGTGAGTTGAAGGATGTTTCTGACCCTTAGCTTTTGGTTATCTGGATGGAAGAAGGCTGGAACATTGTTAAAACTCCTGAGATTTTTCCCTTTTGAGATAGAGCTAGCCACATCTTCAAACTTACTTTGTAAACCATTGCTATTAGCATGGGCTTAAATCCTTAAAAAATATGTTGTTTACAGTTAATTATCTTTGACTTCTGTGGTCATTAGACACTTAACATAAAATTATCTAAATTTTAAGGCTCAATGATCTTTTAATGACTCAAATTATGTACCTTTTGGACATACTAGTCAGTTTTCATTTTTATTCTAAATAACCTTGGGTTTATACATTGAATATTAAAATGTAAAATTGGGAATATTATCAAACTTGATCACTACAATTTAACATTTTAAAATAAGGGACAAACTTTTCTGGGTAAGAATATAAGCACAAGTAAATGAACAGATAAGAATTGGGGGTGATTTTAAAATAATGGTTGAGATTAAGTCTAAATTATATATATTCATAGGAACAATATTTTACTTTTTTTTTGTTTGAATAGGAATATCGTTCAGAAAAATCTCTTGAAGAATTGAGTAAACTTGTACCACCAGAATGCCATTGGTATGATTCTTTTTTTTGCTATGGATTTCTATCCCTTTAAAAATAAAAGTTGAGTATGACTAGTAATGTATATATTGTTGTCCCCATTTTGAACATAAGGAAGACACTATTAATCTGATGTGAAAAGTCCCTGGTCTCATTAAATGTAGCAGAATTATGCCAGTGAAAACTTTAAAGTCGAAGATTCTTGAGACATGGATTTATTTAACAGATTTTGTATGTGTGTTTGTGAATATGTGCTAAGCACTGTTCTAGGTATAGTAATTTATAATCAGACCTAGGTGATTCAGAAGATTGCTTCAATTTACACATTTTACATTTGAACAAATAATCAGTTTCTCCAGTGATTTACTGTCATCTCAATATCTTAATTGTCTAGAAACAATCTTTTTCTTGATTCTTAAATTTCCTTTTTCTCAGATAAGCCCACTGGAAATAATTTGTTAAGATAAGTTGCATGAATTTCTTTTTTTAACCTTAGTTGTTTCTATTTCGTGTTAACAGTGTGCGTGAAGGAAAATTGGAGCATACACTTGCCCGAGACTTGGTTCCAGGTGATACAGTTTGCCTTTCTGTTGGGGACAGAGTTCCTGCTGACTTACGCTTGTTTGAGGTAAGTTTGGGGATCTGATCGTAATAAGTGAAAATTCTTGGATGTAGATTAAAGGATAAATATGACCAGTTTTAAGGCATTAGTACATAGTTGATTTGAAACATTTGGTATTCTACTTTAAAATGTATAACATATATAACATATGTTATACATATATAAACATGTTTTTTTCTTAAAACCTATCTGTCTCTACTGTACCATCTTTTGAAGTGTCTGTTTAGTGACCTGCCGATCTTTATGGAAACCTGCATGTTAGGGACTGTGGGAGATACAAAGATGATATGATAGAATTCTTGTGACTAGGGAACATACTATGTGTATACAAATCACTCAGCATAAAATAGAACTCGGTAATTGAGTAAGAGAAGTTCAAACAATAGGGTGTAGACATGTAAAGAAGGAAGAGGTTCTATCTGATTTGAATGAGATCAGAATATGTCTCAGACAACATGACTTTGGCATTGATAATTGAAGAGTAGTACTGAACAAAGATGGGGAAGACATTGAAGCAATATTATTCAGATCACTATGAACATTTCAGTGTGTGATACTCTGCTGGGATATGTTAAGGATAGAAAATGTGTGATGGAATCAGATTTTTTTGATAAGGAATTACCTTTTGAGGCTTCTATGCAGTTGGCAAATGTTACCCTTAATTTGGCTGCAGTGTATAAAATAGATTGAAGAACTGGAAGATGGAGATAGGCATCTAGTTTAACAGGCTTTCATAATCCATTAATATGCAAGTCTTATCCACTATTGGAATTAAGCTGTTTGTTAACACCTACAGAGCAGTCAATCTTTAAATGGTATGGGTGTTCTTGTCAAGGCCGTGGAAGGCCTGAAGAACCTTTTAGACTAGAATAAGAACAAACTTGGCTTAATCTTTTTAGATTAAGTAGAGGCCTTTTTTCAGACACTTAAAGTTTGTCCTTAGAAAGCTAATAGATTGCTTTAATTGGGTAAATAGGAATAATTGATAATATTGCAAGTGTTACTAACTTTATAATTTTTTCTCTTATTTGCAAGTCTTTTTAATGTTAATTCTTTCCTGCTCTTTAGTTTTTAATATTTTGTTGCTGACAATACCTTGAATTATTCTTCCTCAGAGATTAAGTAGTCTTGTCACTTGGCATAAATTTTCTTCCCCTTCCTCCAGAAAACCCTAATTTAAATTCATGGAGTTTATGCCATTCTTTATTCTGGGATACTTCTCTTCCAGTTGAGAAGCAGACCTTCTCATTGCTAATTACAAGATAGTGTTTCCCATTTGCATGGTTTGAGAAGTATAATGTTAAAAACCTCAAAACACCATTAGAGTTTGGTAAACTATTTTAGGGTTTTCATTTAAGTAAGGGTTAATTGACTTTACAGTTAATTATTTCAAAGTTCACATGTAAACAGGAAAAAAAAAACCTGTCAGTATGGATTGGTATGTATTTTATCTACTCAGCAAATATATATTGAAGACATTGAATGTTTTGTTTTATTTTTATTTTTATTTGTTTTTGAGATAGAATCTCGCTCTGTTGCCCAGGCTCAGGTGCAGTTGTACACTATTGGCTCACTGCAAACTCTGTCTCCTGGGTTCAAGCAATACTCCTGCCTCAGCCTCCCAGGTAGCTGGGATTACAGATACCCGCCACCATGCCCAGCTAATTTTTTAGTGTTTTTAGTAGAGATAGGGTTTTGCCATGTTGGCCAGGCTAGTCTTGAACTCTTGACCTCAGGTGATCCACCTGCCTTGGCCTCCCAAAGAGCTGCGATTGCAGCCATGAGCCACTGTGCCTGGCTGACATTGTGAATTTAATAAGAATTATAAGGATATGTCTTGTGGAGTAATTTATTAGTTATTACTGTTTTCCCCCTACTTGTTAACTTTGCAAACATTTCATCAGCACCTTTTATTCTGCAGTACTGTAGTTAGGTGGTTTTTTGTTCTAGTTAATCCACTTTTATATATACAGTTGAACATTTTTTATTCTCTCTCTCTGCCTTGATTTAGCCCTATTTGTTTTGCCTGCTACCTGGTACCCCAAACAGACTTTTGCAACTACTTTGACTGCATATTGAAATAACTTTCCTTAAAGAGTTGGGAGTCTTTTATCCTGCATCTAAATTTAAATGTACTGACTTAAGGAATAGGCTAATAAAGTCAGATTCTCTTTTGGACACAGAAGCTGTTAGTTTTTGGAGTTAGATTGGCTTTTTGGAGTTTTGTTTGCTCAGTTTGGCTATGGTGATCTTTGGATAATTTGTAAGGCTAGCTGGTCATTTGATACTACTGTATGAAATAAACTCTCATTAGAGTTTAAAGGAACCAGAAAACTTAGTCATCTTTAGGATATTACTGATTTTCTCCAAAGCACATAGATTTCACTTTAGAGAAAGCAAGTCTGTGAACTTGTGTTATGTAGTTAGTCTTCTTATAGACTAGGCCTACGGCCAAGGTTGCTACTTTAATGTCATCATTTTGCAACTCTGATTCCTGTTAAAAATTTTACTGGTTTCAGATTTTGACTGTAAACTTGCCTGGGCCCTCAGCAACTTCTTGTTAGCACATTCAGTGACCTAACTGCTGTACAACTTTTATCTGGTATGATATCTTCATAGGCTGTGTCTTAGCTTAGACCTTTAACAAAATACCATGCCATTTATTTTTCCACAGTTATGGAGGGTGGAAGTTCAAGGTCAGGGTCTGGCAGGATTTGGTTTCTGGTGAGGACTCTCTTGCTAGCTTGAGTGGCTGTCTTCTTGCAGTGTCTTCACGTGGCAGAGACAGCAATTTCTCTCTCTTCCTCTTATTACAGCCAGTAATGGTATCATAAGGACTAGTCTCACGACTTCATCTGAACCTAATTACCTCCCAGGGCTCCATCTCCAAATACTATAACATTGACTGTAGAGCTTCAGCATATGACTTTTGGGGATACATAGTTAAGATTGTGATAGGCTGAGACTGCCATTCTGTTTATACTTTTTAAAGACTGGTATTGATACCTCAAGGAATTGTGTAGTTTTTCCCTTACCTGTGTCAGGTTTTCAGAAGCCAGTAGTTGAGCCAAGATAGTTTTCCCTTGGTATCCACTGGGGGTTGGTCCTAGTACCCACAGATACCAAAATCCAAAGATGCTTATGTCCCTTATATACGATTGAGTAGTATTTGTATATAACCTCTGCACATTTTTATGTGTAGTTTAAATCATCTCTAGATTACTTATAACTCCTAATAAAATATAAATGCTATTTCAAGTGTTATACTGTATTTTAAAAAATTTGTATATTTTTTACCGTTGTATTTTTAAAATTTTACTTTCTTTGAATATTTTCTGCCTGCGATTGATTGCATTCACTGCTACAGAGGGAGGACTGTATGTGTTGGTGGCAGTGGCCTTTCCAGCAGGAATCTGAGAGGCACTGATGGAGCTGGGACAGTAAAATGTAGAAGAATTGAGATTTGGGCAAGTTCTTTGTCCCCCCTGCCCCTGAGGGTTTTTATGTTAATTTTTAATGTATTTGAGAAGAGGCACCACTGGCCAGTTACTTGATAATAGCCAATGGATTGGTCAGACAATGACTTTAGATTGAAGCAATCTTATTGACTGTGTATGCCTACATAATTTACTTTTTGCCTTTGTGAAAACACAGCATATTTTCAGTATTGTTGCAGGTAAAGTCTATATCAATATTTGAACAAAGAATTATTTGTAAGGAAAAACAGTGTGAGGGTCAGAGGAAAAAAGGTTGTGTTGTGTTTTGTTTTGTTTTTGTCTTTTGAAAATATTTTACCTCTCTCTGTTATAAATTTCTAAGCCCTATGTCACTTGAAATGATAGCAAGATGTTCTTTCACTTGGAATTCTGAATAAATCTGTTGACACTTTCTTTAGTTGTTCATATGCTTACAGTTGGCCCACATCTTTTTTTTTTTGAGACGGAGTTTCACTCTTGTTACCCAGGCCGGAGTGCAATGGCGCGATCTCGGCTCACCGCAACCTCCGCCTCCTGGGTTCAGGCAGTTCTCCTGCCTCAGCCTCCTGAGTAGCTGGGATTACAGGCACGCACCACCATGCCCAGCTAATTTTTTGTATCTTTAGTAGAGACGGGGTTTCACCATGTTGACCAGGATGATCTGATGATTTTCTAAATGTATCAGACTTCTTTCAGAGAATTACCACTTGGGCTAGGAGCCACAATTAAGACATTTTAATGATACTAGATTATCAGACCATTTTAATCTGGGCAGAAAGTTTAGTTCTCTTAGGAGTCAGGATCTACTAGGGCCAAGCTCAGGAATCCAAACTTAAGAACACACCAGTAGGCATTATATTGTGAGCCATTTTTTAATCTCATGAATCCTTGTTCTTTGTTACAGGATAGCAGTTTGGCTCAGTGAGTAGTTTTTGGTGTCTTCAGGGCTTGTTCCTTTGTGTTCCCTAGTTCTCAGGAGAAGTAAAAACCAAAGATAATGGGCACGATTGAGCCAGCACAGATATACTTTGGCTACCTACAACCCGAAGGACTCATAAATAATATCCTTGCCTGGAACCCCACGTAGCCATTACGTCCCTGTTTGTGAGGCTCACATTTGTGCACAATCTTTTTGTTGAGACCCACTAACAAGCAGCTTCCTCCACGTTGGGTAAATTCATTAGTGGAGCAATCTTTCTGTGTCAAGCATTCTGATTTTCTGAGTTAACAAAATACATGTTCCATTTACTCAGTGGAAACGTTAGTATTCTGGCAAAACCCAGGTTGCAATTCTGATTTAGTTTGTTATGCTTTTTCAAAAAAGAACCTTTTCAAATATTTGAAAGGTTCTTTACATTTAGGTAAGCAATATAGTGATATTTTAAATTTACTTATATAGCTAATTTAGGCAAGTATAATCCCTTTCCTAGAAAATCAGTCTGTTATGAAACCATTTTTGCCATTTAGCCCATACTTAAATACCATGTACGGATCATTGTACCAGGCTACAGGGCTTACAAATGAAAAAGA